TATAATCCACGTAAATTAACAAAAAGAGGTCAAAATATGCAAAAATAGCCCTTACTGTGTTAATAATGCAGTAGAAATATGTTGATAAATACTGCAAAAATCAGTCATTAATTGCACATAAGATATAAATTATCACTTGAATCTTTTATCTGTTTACTTTTCTTAAAATCTTAGTTTATCCTGCTACTGTCTATATCATCAGCTGGATAAAGCCTTGCCGGATAAACTTATCTATCTCCAGTCATTACGTCACATGATGACGTCACATGTTTAGCAGCAAAACAAAACTTCATATTGATGCTATTTTATCAAGGAAAAAGAAGAATAAAATTATTCTAAAAACATGATAAAAAGCAGGATAAATCAAATACATGGTTGATGTCGGGATGGAGAAGGTTTAGCCGGATCGCTGCGAAAGTGAATCTCGCTAAAGCTCGCCAAGATTCACTCGCTCACCGGATAAACCTTCTCCATCCCGAAATCAACCATGTATTTTCTATATACTTTCCCATATTTGATTTTCTAAAATATTTCAGCTCATCTGGAGGCATACAGCTTTTAAAACATCAATAAACATCTGATCTACAAATTGTTTACCAAAAATATCTAATTAAATGTTCCAATTAATAAAGAAATTTTGTTAATAAGAACAACAGTTCTTTAAAGTAATACAACAAACAAGTAGAAGTTATAACCAAATAACTAGTTATTATCTTAAATCGTTTAGTAATAAAACCATCTTTTCTATTTATCTGGGATGTATATATACCTTCCCTGGTTTTATTTTGATATTCCAAATCTTGAATCTCAATTTGAGCTCCTTATGATTCTGTCAATAAATATATATTGACTGTATAAAATATCCCAACCTCTCTAAGCTGTCCCCCACAGATGACTTATAATTAAAGTATAACTGCACATTAAAAAACAAACATACAATAATAATACTATCCCGCCAACAATAATTAGAAGCAGGAAATGACATCATGTCTAAAAATAGAACATAAAAAAAGATCACAGCTTTTCACCATAAAAAATTAGCACAGATTAACATAGTATACACAGAAGCAACAAAATTTTAAAAAAGCATAAAGAAAATTATACAGTTTGAGCGTACCCCATTAAAATGCTGGAACATGTTTTTTAACCTCTGGAAGAGCTAAAGGGTCAAAGTATTGTGTAACAGCACTGTTAAGATTAACGCTCAAACTTATTGTTCTAACAGGCTTACAAAACCAAAATTAAGTTAACTAATTAAGTTAACTAACATTTAATTAAGTTACATATAAATGTTATTTACAAATATGAGAGTGTGACATCACATATAATTATATAGTTTGTCAAAAATGTGGACATGAGGTTGACATTTAAACAAAAACTGATAAACTTTATCATAAGACATATAGAGTTAAACTAAACTAAAACGTCAAGTTTGCAAAGGGAAATAAATATATGTACATAACAAAAAAAAAACAGTAGAGTGACTACCCCTGTTGTAAAGGGTGTTTAAATAACAGGTACTATTACAAATTGTAAGAAATATATTGAGTACTATGCATGCCACATTACTCACTTGACCAAAAGTTGGCAATATTTTTGTTTTATTACCCAAGATGCTGGAATTTTTAATTCATTTCACAACAGATATAGAGTCTAGATCTACAAGCAAATGCTTAAGTTAAAATCGAACAAGGACCAAATACTTCGGTTCTGGGCACATTTTGATGACAAAATTTCATCTATAACTCATTAAATATGAAATAACCTTGAACATGATTTATCATTCATTTTTCATTTGTTCAAAGTGGCAGTTGTAATAACTTTTGAGGTCCAACAAATTGGCAGTAACAAAAATCCATTAAAAATACTATGAAAATAATTTGTAAAGTTGATGGAGATCACTTAGCATCAACAGAAGTTTCTTCTCATACATGTTACAACAGTAAGATGTTGCCGGAAGTAGAGATCTAAGATATATATATATAAATATATATACACATCAGGGCTTACATGATTTAATCTTAGAATCTTACAGGACTGCTTTTAAAGCAAATGTTTATAGAAATATCTATTTGTAAACAAACAAAAAAACTGTAAACAAAATCTTTACAATCATAGCAGAGATCTATTGTATTACGTTAATCTTAAAAACTGAGAGTGCTTTCTTTTGTAAATGTTAAAAAAGCAAATAAAAGCAAAAAGGTAGTTTAACATGTTTTTATCATACTAAAGTTTGGTTGTCTGATTTTTTTTCTCACTTACTGGAACATGAGGTGACCGGAATAGAGTCAGACCAGGCTCTATACTGTATGTAGCTACATTTTTGTAACCTGATACTGACATCACATAAACATAGATGGACAGATCCATACTCAAAGCAGCCCACATCTATCACACAAAATTTCAGCAGTTTAATGAGTAACTAGATAGCTGTAAAATATTATACACAATACCATTCCAAAGTTAAATAGCAATGTTGTTTTTTAAATGTCTTAAACAGTAGATCTGTGATGTTGTTATCATGCTAAATTGAAAGAATACATATGCACAACAAAAAAGTTCTGATTTCAAAGTGCCTGACATATAAGTTTTTACTTTCAGGCAAACCATAAATAAATATGAGAATACATTTACTATGTCTTACAAATATCTATATGTATTATAATATAGGAGACAAAGTACATGGATTTTTTTTCTTCTATTTTTCCATAGAAGTGTAAGTTCTTGGATATTTCCCCAATTTTGTTTATAACACAGACGTCAAAAACATGGATTTTTTTTCTCATCTTTTGATATATATATAATGTATATCATCTTCACATCAAATTATTTTCTGACAATAATTTTTGTAAGATGTAACCTTTTTAACAATTTTCAACAATGAACCTACTTTTTTTGAACTCTAAAAACACAAAATGGCAAAAATAAAAAAATGTATAAGCACCAAGCATTTGAACTAAATAATTCCCTATATATTTACAAATATTCATACATTTTTTATGACTACATTTATATTTAACATCAGTTTTTAATACGTACATAATTTCTAGCAAAATAATATCTATTTTATTTTGCTAGAAGTTTCCCAATGTCGCTAGATAAACATTTCATCTCACAACAATGAAAAGTTTTAATTCTAAAATCTATTTTTAACCTCATTAATCTTGACACCATAGGTAGAGGTCCACAAAAGGTACCAGCACACTAAAAACTAATATCTTAGTCAATAAATGAAGGTGCTATGGAGACAAAGTGAATCTGGTGAAAGGAAGGGAAGGCCATCTGGCCAGTATATTATGCCTGACCATAATAATTTCCATTAACAAACAGTACAACAGTCTAGTAATTCATCAGAATTATGTACTCAACCTTAAATCCAGGGATGCACTTATTACATCTCTTTAAGTCATTACATTTAGATAGAGTATAAAGACAATTAAGCAGAGAAAAAACACAATAATTATATAATAAAACTCTATACAAACAAACTGTAAAAGTGGTTACAAATGAATCACAATATTATTATCAAATATGCCCTTTGAAATAAATACAATACATATTAAACATAAATTGTTGTAATATAGAATTGACAACTCAAATTGTCCCGCAAAACATGACCTTTCCATATAAATTTTACTTTTTTTTCTTCACACAAATGTTACAAGTATAAATGTACAATATACATGCACTTTTAATTAAGTTATCACTGGACTATAGTTCTATCCTGGTAAAAATGGAATTCAATTTTTCTAATATATATCATTCTATTCTTCTTCCTTTTAAAGTAAAATCATAGCTATAAAGGTCAAATGACAACTTTCCAGCTTTTCTAGCAGGATACCCCATGCTCTCCTCCATGCAGGAGTGTGCACCTAAACTGAACCACTAACGTTCCATAATGAATGAATCCAAAGACTCTGTCGAGAATCAAACCCATAGAAGATAGTGGCTGACTAACAACAGTTTACACACTCTTAATTGAACTGATTAAAGCCTAGGTGCTTTTCATCAGGATCAAAAACTTTTGATGAAAATGACAAATATAAAATAATTATATAAATTCAAACTGCTAATGTTTTGACAATGAAATAGTTTGAAGCTATTTTCGTTTTTATTTGGCAAGGTCATGGTTCAACACGACTACACTTTATGTTTCGGAACATCCAACCCAACTCATATGAATTTGTGCACATACATGATTGATTAACTGTAGATATATTTCTTATTAACTATTAAAACATTTCTTGCCAAATACCTAAATTAGGACAATAAAAGCCTTAGCATTAGCATAGCACAAGTCACAAAAAAGCTCCTTTAAACTTAGGTTACTTTATACTGAAACACACTGCTAAACTGTCACCATTATAAAGTATTAACATTTACAAGTCTAAATACATAACATTTCTTAAACTGACTTTTCCATGAAAAAAAACATTCATCATTTTAGAACAACTTTCAAAATAAGTACTGACTGAATAGCCAACAGTGCAGACCATGATCAGCATAGAAGAAACAAATTCTGCCAGCAGGGTGAAAATTAATCTGTGTATCTATAACTAATGATTAACTGCACTGTTCACTGACTTGACTAAAGTGTGTGTATCAGTATGTGTATGAAAATTACTCTAAAAAAATCTTACATTACATCATATTATGTTGAATTACATTTCACAGTCAGCTGGCATGTACATTCAAAGCCCTATTTTCCTTTAACCCAAAAAGAAAACAACAACCCACCACATACATATAAGCACAGATATTCAATTTTTATATCTAAAACTTCTCTAAAATTACCACCTCTACTCAAGATTTATTCTGAAAGTATTCAGCACTTGATAACTAGATTATAAATCTTAGTACAAGGAAATAAAGGCTACATTTAATTTAGCAAAATATATTCATAATTGATATTGCATGAAAAAAATGTGTCAAAACTTTTATTTTTCTTTCATGTAACTAGTTTAAGTCACACAGGACTTCAACATACTATGTATACCATACTACATGTATATTCCAAATCTTTGTGAAACACGACCAATAAAGTCATGAATGTAACTGTGAAATTTTATATTTTAGATTTACAGAATTTATAACTTGGTAGATAGGTTTATAGCTTGTACATGAACCCAGAGATGGGCTGCTTGAAACTGACAGACATGTTCATAGCTTGTATAAACAGATATGACCAATATAGCCCATGGCTTTGAATTTGAATAACAAAGGTTAAATAAATGGTGTAGGTTTTGTTGAGAATAAAGACTGTATAAATGTATATGTGTGCAATGATCATCATAAACTATTTATTACATCTCATATTACACATGACACAATTTTTTTTTTGGTTTGTAAATGAAACAAATTTATGTTTATTCATATAATCAAATAATATGACATGAAAAATTTTTCATGATTGAATATACATTTATCCACTTTCAGCCAGAATAATGGAGTAATAATGCCTCACTGAGAAATGTGTGCAAAACTTCAACAATTAAATCACATTAACAAGTACACAAGCAAAATGAATAAATTCCAAAATATTCACAAAAATTTACCCCCCACCCCCTTAACATTATTAAATTCATTCAAATTTGATGCACTTACTGAATTCATGTTATCACTTTATTCATTACTTAATAACTTTTCAGGAGATGGGTTTTGAAACATGAGGTTTATACTGTTTAGATAATATGTTTTTGTGCATTATAGATGCTGATCACCTGAATAATGTTGTGCTGAATAAGAAGTTGTCATCAAAGTAGCAAAATGTAAACAAAGTAGTATTTTGACTTCCTTACAAAATCACTGTATTTTTACTAATTACCAAAATGTAATAAAAGTAAAAGGTATTTAAAGTAATTGGCCAATGAGTAACTTTTTTTAAAACAATTACAGGACACAGAAATAAAAGCATTTCTGAGGCATAATGGACCTTCTCAAATGCTAGGTTTTATATATATGACTATAAAATGATCTTTGATGTGTAATGTTTATAACATTTATATATGTTTTACATATGGTTGAATATACAATTAAGCCTTAATGTGCTGACGGTCATTATGTCTTGACTATGCCCAGGCCAGCCTGTACATTTGTGCTAATTCATATCATTTTAATATTGACTTCCCTTATAGTCACAATGGGCAGTTCCAAATACAATAAAGGACTAGTCTATTATATAAATTCAGTACAGTAAGGTTTAATTTATCCTGACATGATAAATGAGGTGATTAAAGTTGATCGTAGGCACATTGTGGGGGGTGAGTTATCGCTGAGTATATTTTAAACTTTTTCCAACTTGTTAACTAACTTTTTCATCAACTCTAGAGAAATTAGTGAATCAGAAGAATTAGATTTACTCATTACATCTGTCCTGTCCTCAACTAATAATGCCATAATTTTCATAATGCAGTCAATGTAAAATGTATCAATTTACTGTGTATAGTTTTTACACTTATTATTTACTTTCTAATTTTTTCATGACTTGTTATAAAGTAAAAGGAGCTTTTTTGTTCTTTTTTTACAATCTTAAGCAGATATAATAACATAGAATAATGCTTATTTCTTATACATTTTGTATGATTCTATTGTTTTTTAATATGGCTTGTCACCAACTTGTATTTAAAAAATCAGTAATTGATAACAGTTGTGCACTTTGTCAATATCTAAATCAAATTTAATCCTTTTCAATTCATTTCTTACTAATCAAGGAATGTTTAATTTTCATTTCAATGCTTATGAAAAATAAAATTCAATTTTTTTTTTCATTTTCAATCCAACAATGTTCTGATACAGAATTATACAAAATAATTAATAAATAATTTCATAAAATAATCTCTGAATTTTAAGTTTTCAATGCTTTTCTTAAAACTTTCATTTCAATCATACATCACTTTTAACACACTGCTAATTTTAATAAAGACTAAACAATATGCAAATGGACTGTCGTTACACATTATACTGACTCTACTGTAGAAGAACTTGTGTTACATAGCTTGATGTTGGAAGAATTGATGTTACAAAGCTTCATGTCACAATACTGGTGTTTAATAGCTTGGTGTTGAAGAACTGGTGTTACAAAGCTTGGTGTTGAAGAACTGGTGTTACATAGCTTGGTGTTGAAGTACTGGCGTAACAAAGCTTGGTGTTTGAAGAACTGGTGTTACATAAATTGGTGTTGGAGTACTGGCGTAATAAAGCTTATTGTTTGAAGAACTGGTGTTACAAAGCTTGGTGTTTGAAGAACTGGTGTTACATAGCTTGGTGTTGAAATACTGGTGTTATAAAGCTTGCGCTGCATCTATAACAAGCTGTTGGTGTTGTTGCTGTTGTAAAGACATTGTCCAGAGATTTAAACTGGTAATAAACAGTATATATAGAAGTTATATAAATTTCATCTAAGAGCCATCGTTCCATCTTTACCAACAAGAAGTTGTAATCCAGCAGCTGAAAATTAAAAAAATTAACAAATTACTCTTTATTTGAAGTGAAATGGTCTATAATGGAAGGTCTGTAATGCAATAGATAATTAGGTTCATAGTATTTAGTTTCGCACATAACATTAAATGACAAAAGAATGATACATTGATAATGTTGGCAAGTGTGACATACATGATCTGATATTAAGACATATTTATATAGTAAATAATGAAATGTTCTAGAACAAAATATTATAATTCATCATAAAAATGTTCTTATTAAATCATTTAGAACTTTATCAACATAATTTTTTCATTTAAGCAATATTTTATAAGAATATCCAAATGATACATTTCTACTTTTTTTTATCAATATCATCAAGTTATGGAAAATGTGCCTGTTGCAGACCAAGTCACTTTAATTAATTAACATACAGAATATTATGTGAATATGCTATTCTGATTAGTTGTATAGCTTGAAGCTGTATTCTTGGAATGAGTGGGAATACATCTTTGTGTAATCTGCGAGAGTAACATTCAACTCTCTATACTGTTGGTTGCCCAATTATAATATTATACTTGTTTTTTTTTGTTTTTTTTTTGGTTTTACGTCACACAGACACAGTATAGGTCATTAGGCGATGTTCCAGCTTTACTAGTAGAGGAAGACCTCAGGTGCCCTTCCGTGCATTATTTCAGGTAAGTAGAACCACCGATGTTCCGTAAGCTAGCTGGATAGCTTCCTCACATGAAAGAATCCAAAGTCCCTGTCGGGATTCTAACCCACAGTGGTGAGGGGCAAGTGGTTTGAAGTCAACAACTTTAACCACTCGGCCAAGGATGCCCCTATTTTGATACTGAAATCTCTATAATTAAAACCAGACAGTTCCTATTTTTAAACTAGACAGTTACACTATAACTCAGAAATATGCAAGTTAACTTTTAGGTATTAATTTTACAAAACATTACAACTGTTTTATATTTCCCCAGTTCCTGAAGCAAGTAAGTAAAATAACAGGTTCTCTTAACATAACAGTGACAGGTGTTTATCTATACATGTATTTTGTATAAACTTGGCCAAGTGTTTATATATACATATTGTAACAGTGTAAATACTGGGTCAAGTATTGCTGTATAAACTGTGAAGTTTTGTTTGTTTGTTTGATTGGGTTTTACGTCACATCGACACAGTATAGGTCATATCGCGACGTTCCAGATTTACTGGTGGAGGACGACCTCAGGTGCCCTTCCGTGCATTATTTCAGGCACGAATGGGCACCTGAGTAGAACCACAGACGTTCTGTAAGCTAGGACAGTGAAGTAATTATATAATTATGTTGTATAAATAAGGTCAAAGGTTTAAATGACAGGAAATTATTCATATATGTTTTACAACTTACATTCATCAAGTTCTAAAGGTTTGAGATCAGTTGATGCTAACAATTCTTCTACAAGACCCTCGGCGTCTACACGAGTCTGGTCCACACGACGTTCTTTAAATGAAGATTCTTCAAACTTCTACAAAATATCAACATGCTATCATTAACATTTGGAATAGAAATGTATCATATTATTAAACTGTCTAGTATTATACTTAATAAACATGTAATACTTTCAGATATAAACATGCTGCAAACAAAAATCTGCATCATGCAAGCCTCTACCTAACAAAGATTACTCAAACATATATGGCAATCTCCTACGCAGTGATCTCCCCTTATCAGTACAGAGATCTCTGCCATCACAAACATTGAAATATCAATATTTGGATATTTATATTTTTTAGCTTTTTAATTTATTTTTCATTATTTTGTATACTTTTGATAATTTTTTGATAAAATATAACGGACGTAGGTACAAAAAGTTAAAAATAAAACAGAAAGAGAAAAATGACGTTAGATTTATTATGTAACGGCCGTTATTTACATTTGAATTTCGACGTTACGTCATGTGACTTTCATCATCATGTGACGTCTGTAAAGGCAGTGATTACAATTCTGCCAAGGGAGGTAATCAGTGTGAGGAGTTTGCAAATATGGATAACAAATCTGACTCTTCTCGAAGCTTGACAGTACAACAAGAGCCTGGATAGGGCAGGAATTTTCCAAGTCCACAAAGGGAAATATTCAATAAAAATCTATGGTAGAGCTAAATTAAAATAAAACTAAACACCAATAATTTACAACAAAAAAACCCAAACACTTTAAACCAGGAATATCTTGACAAGAATTTAAATCAAAATACAGTCATGTAAAATTTTCATGAAAAGAAAGACTTTAAGTAAAGAAAGTTAAATGTGAGGAGAAAGATTAAGAAAGAAAAAGTTGAATCCTAAAAAAATACATCTGATATCATAATCTTGTATCAGTCATATATCATAACACTCCAACTTATCAATAATAGTAAAAACTTTCATAAGTTCATAATTTGCATTATTTAATTATATCAGTGATTTTTCACCTTATAAAACAGGCCCATGAAAGGCCTCTTCCCAAATGAAATATCCATGAAAATTTTGCAATTTTTCCAAAAAACACCAGCTTCATACATCCAAAATAAGCAATTTAAGAGCCAGTTTTTCCTGAAATAAAGAGGTTAAGGCCTCTTCCCAATTAAGTGAGAAAAAAACACTAGATAATATATTTTTTCTCTATTTTATCTCTCTATAAAATCTTAGTAAAACCAGCACCATATAAATAAATGATTATATCTCTATATATAGAACTATAAAATAAAAGTAACAATAATTCTCCTGTCAAAATATCTACATGTACATTTACAAAAATATGCTAAGGTATTCCACCAATTAATAAATTGTACTTCAAATTTTCAACAACCTGCTTGCTAGCTTATTAAAGATAGATAAAGACTTGCGTAACTCTTCTATATACATGTATTTAGTTATTAAAGATAATTTAGTAGCACTATGTATAGACATTATTTGTATTGACAAATCGATTGATCTGTGTAAAATGAACGTAACTCCTTCATTGTGTAATACAAGTTACAGGTGTTTTGCATTTGAAGTGCTCACATGTATTTGTTGTTGGTTTTAATTACACTTTTTAACAGCAATGCACTCATATCAAAATGGTGGGTGAGTTAAAATTACTGTACTGGTCGGAGACCATCAACCGGACACTTTTGGAACATTTTTCTGTACAGATTTCATAATTTTTAACCTAGAGACCAAAAAATTTGACACAGTTCAGCTAGGTTCTTCTCCTAACTAATAAACTAGTTTGTTTATTTCTGATTGTATTGACACTTTTATCTGAGGCTCGACAAGGAGGGTATCAAAATTACCTAAATTGTCTACACTACAGTACCATGTGTCCGGACAGATATGTACATGATGTGATTTAATTCAGATTAAAGCCTGTATGTTTTGATTTGTAACATGATATACAATATGTCAGCAACAAATGCTGAAGTTTTGGATATTCTATTATTCACTCTGCAAATGATTATAGCTGGTATATGAGGTCAGGCATTGCTTTCTTGACCCCCGAATTTCAACGTTAACATTCTTGAAATAGACATTAAAATATTACCAATTACAGAGGTTGAAATAAATTTATTTACTTAATTTTAAAAGAAACATGCACTTATTGTTGATAAAAATGTGACTGACAACCACTGAACAAAGAAAATACTAAATTAAGCATTTTCGGGGCCGTCCGGGTTTGGTGGTTGTCCGGTTTTGGTGGTCCCCAACCAGTAAACAAATCATATTTGGTTTATATATATATTTTTTTTTTACCACTTTATGACAGTATATCACATACAAATTGGCCAACAGTAAATTCCTATACAAATAACAGGCAGAGCACCTTAGATAAATAAAACAATACAATGATTGCACCATCAAACAGTGCTACATTGACCACATGTGATCTATTTAGCCATTATCCTCAATACCTAGTGCTTTACTTAAATCTTATCTTCCAGATTTTAACTAAATTCTAATGAAAGCTGTAAGGTTGCTGACATCTAAGTCACCTTCAAGTTAACTTCCTGGTGTAACCAATACAGCCCTTCATATTCAGGGTCGCCAATCATGTTTCTGAGTAATTTGCCTTAAAATTTCATAATTGGCTGATTTATTGTAATTTTATAAGGGACTATAAATATGTTTTTCTTTCTGCCTATTATAGTACATGTATATTATATAGTGAATATCCTTAAGTCAGCCTCTAAGTTTCTCCCTCACCCCATCACCAGTGGTAATGTGTGTTCATTTCTAAAAATCAGGTTTGAAACATTCTTCTAACAGTTTACAAAGATATTAATATTGAAATCACAATATAACAGAATAATAATAATATCTCTATTGTATTGAAGAAAAGACATTAATATTTTAGATGATAAAGAATATAAAAAATTTTGAAAACTAAAGTTTGTTTGGATGTAACGGATCATTGACAAACAACTGGCCATGCCACGCCAAACACTATAAATGTTAAAACTGAAGACAGAAAATAAAAGAACTAGAATAATCTAAAGAAATTTAAGGCATGAATTAGAAAAAAAATAATTTAAGGTTTTTTTTTAAAGAGAGTTGGACAAACAGAGTAAGAATTCAATTCACTTTAATCTTTAAATATGTCATAATTATTTTTCATAAAATATGTGAGATATGAAAGCACTTTCTAATGTGACATGTAAGTGAATATACTGTATATCCCCTTTCAAACACCCCAAGTGGTGATGTAGTTTGCCAAAAATCAAGTCCAAATATTATCCAGGACTGTTTTAAACGTCCCAAATTTCACATACTTCGTATTCAAAACACTGTTACAACTCTACCTCTATAGAGTAAAATTACGGTAAATGGTGACAACTGGTATATGAGTGATGTAGCGTGTACTGTCATATTGCAAAAATATGGTAATACCTATTCATAGCATGTTAACCAATTAAACTTGGTGATAAAATGTGACACATGTACACTGTTCTTACTTAAAAACATGGAATAATTTCACTGTATATACATTGTAATTACAAGAACTTCCTGTGCAGTAATTACTTTTTATTTTTATTTAAAAAATTAACAGGAAAGAATTTTATTCTTAGCTGGAAAATCGATTGGGGTGTGTTTGAATGGGGGAGATACAGTAAAGTTAATATTTTCAATATAAGTCATGTCTAGATTATACACACAAAATAAATTAACATCACTCTATATTTTACCTACCTTTGATCCCTATAATGTACATATATAAGAATAAATTTGATTTTTACATACACCATCACTGAATTCTCTATTTTAAATGACAATAAAATTTTTTTAAGAGCTATCAGAAGAGACAGCACACTTGACTAATTAAACACTGGACAGTGAAGAAATGCGTATTCCAACGTTCAAGAAAATACCTTCAGTAAGGAAAAAGACACTGTAAAAATCTAAAATCTCTACATGTAATTACTAGTTCAATATTTGAATCATTACTAAAATATTGGGTTCAGTGTTATGAACTTAATAATTTGGGTGAAATTTTCATTAAAAATAATGAATGGTTAAGTTCAGTATGAAGGTTGGACAAGTCTATTTATGATATTTAAATAACCTGCCAGATAAGCAATTAATAAAATTCAGAAAACAAACTCTTACCCTTCTTCTTTCTGCCTTAGCAAACTCTGTGAGTGATGAGCCTGCACTTGGACTTCTGTAAACAAAAGTATAAATAACCTTTATCACAAATAAACATTGTCTGGGTAAATTAATTTCAGGAGTTAAGCCCGTAACTTTGTCAACTCCAAAATATTGACATAAATTACAACTCACAATTTTCTAACTCAGTTATGTTCTTTTGCTCCACTTACACACAAGCGAAAAATTTAACAGAAAAACTTATTCAAGACATCTTTTTTTCACAGTCATCTCCTTTATATTGTAAATTCTTAATTAATCAAGGATATTTTTTAATTCAATTTCTCAAATTTGCTAAAGTTAATGTCTAAATAATTATGTCTCAAATGGTACTATATGCTTACTTATACCCACAATCTACTTTATCATCAACTTCTTGATTCTCATATCTATGATTTAATAATAATTATTAAGAAACTAAGATATTATGTTAAGAAACTAAAATATTATGAAATTCATAATCTCGTTAGTTTCATTTATATAATGCATCGTTTCCTGGGATAAAAATATCATGTCATTTACCTAGTATGTGTAGGGTGGCCATCCTGACATGTACTGGTTCCACTACTATTCTGTCTACTGTGTGTGAGGGAACCATAATTTGAACCATTCCGTGAATGTTGACTTGTATAACTACCATTACGGGAATGACTTTTCTCAAAATTATTCTCAGAATCCTCTGAAATAAAATATCATATAATTATTAGCTTTGACATCATGGTCTTGCTCTAAATAAGCTGCTTACATGAAATTAATGGGTATAAAAGCTGTATATAATCAAATACATAGGCCTACAGGTTTTCCAGAACAATTATTAGCAGGAAAGTCATGTTGTTTTCATAATCTTACAGTCAGTTCTAGGAATAGATGCGATATAAAATGTCCTTTTATTTAACAAACATATATTCTATGTAAAGAGAATAAAATTTAACAAAATAAAATATTATGCCTTTACTTTAAGTAGAGTTTTACACACAAGCCAATCTCTTATACGGAAATATAAAACAAATTATCTTACAGGTAATGAGGGAATGTTCTTTTTTCAAAATTTAAAAAATGCTCTTGTAAACTACAGTCATTGAATCTACACTGTATACAGCTTTATACACTTAAAGAGTAGATTACCAATATTCATAAAATCATGAACAAGTAAAGCATGTAGCCTTTATTTTCTTTTAAGTTTAATTGCTTATATTGTCAAATGTTTAAACTGTAATAAGGTTCTAGGTTTTGACTATAGTATACCTCTAGATATCACACTTGGTCTGTCTTTTCTTGGCAAACTGCCAAAACCACTGCTGTTTGAGGCTAGACTTCCTTCCTCAGGGGAAGTAACTCTATTCTCACAGCTTTCTTCATCCTCACCAGGTACCAAAAATTGGGATTGTGTCATTCTGAAAAATTTCGAAAAATTGGTATATCATTTCTAGATTAATCAAGAGAAGAAATATGGATCACAATATTTAAAAGGCATACATAATTATACAGAAGTATTTCTATTCAATTTTAAAAGTTACAATGCCCTTTTTTATTAATTCTTTCAGTTTTCTGCAAGCCCGACTTTAAAAATGATCACTGTGGCATTGAAGACTATTCAGACATTTGAAAATGTACCCCAAGCCATAAGGAGAGATGCATACTAGTGACTATTAAAACTAAATATATTACACAGAACCGTGTTTATTTTATGTCTGGTATACAGGGTAAAAGGTTATCTCCCTTTGTAAGTTACTTATTATTAAGGCCCCCACGATTACACGTTTAAAAGGATTCGTTTCGATTTTCATTCGTAAACGTTTACGATATTTTTTTCCGTTTAATCGAAATGACCATATTATCTTACAAAATTTCTTAATCATTGCCTGTAATCATGGATTTTATCAATTCTTGTGGTTTATTCCAAAGTAAAAAACGGAAAATGGATGTTTACAGCCCTTCACACAGCATTACCCTGCAAAAAATGCTCGTGACATTTTGGTAAACAAGAGCTGTCCGTAAGACAGCGCGCTCGACTTTTTTATTGCTTGCCAATAAAAAAAGTTTTTGCAGTAAAAGGCAATACAAGAATCTCTGTATTTTTAAAGTGAACTAGTTGTTTGATACCCTTGAATATTACAGCAATGTTTATATGACATAATTTATGGTAAAGTGAACAAGTGGATAGGAATGAATTTTTTTTAGATTTTTTAAGTTTTTTAGTGCTTGCCTATAATACAAAACATTGACAGTTAAGGGCCATAATTCAAATAAAATCTTTGACAGAATTACCTTCTCCTGGACATGTTTGGGAATCATGATTGTAAACAAGTATTCCAACTTTCAAATTAATATCTCAAACAGTTCAGTCAAAAAGTGGACTGGTTACTAAAAACTTAACCAAGATTCTAAGTCGATAAAAGGCCTTAATTTTTAAAACAAATCCTTGACAGAGTTACCTTCTCTTGCGTACAGATGGGGTAATGATGTGAAATAGCATTAAAAGTTTCAAAGCAATATCTCAAAGGGTTAAGGCAATAAGTGGATTTTACCCATATTCAATGTATTTTCTAAGTCAAAAAGGGGCATAATTCTGTCAAAAACCTTGACAGAGTTATGTCCTCTTGTCTGTTGATGAAGGTCGTGATGGTAAACAAGTATGGTCAGTTTCAAAGCAATACCTCCAATGGTTTTGAAATAAAGTGAGGTGGTACAAAAAACTTAACCAAGCTCAATACACTTTCTAAGTCAAAAAAGGGCCATAATTCTGTCAAAAACCTTGACAGAGTTATGTACTCTTGTCTGTAGATGGAGGTTATGATGGTGAACAAGTATGGTAAGTTTCAAAGCCATACTTGTAATACTCCTGAAATAAAGTGGGGTGGTACGAAAAACTTAACCAAGGTGTGACGCCAACGCCCACGCCGGGGCGAGTAGGATAGCTCCCCTTTTCATAGAAAAGTCGAGCTAAAAATGGGGATATAATGCAGAAAATGTGTGCTGACTCAATCGTGATGAGCCCTGGACATTTTTTATTTGTACATGTATTAAAAATAGAAAGTAAATTATCATTTGGCGACTCAAATACATGGTGTATATAGTACATAAAGGTATCACCGTTTAAACGGTATCGTTTCGATTCTTAGCAATCGTGTAAACGTTTACAAAAAATTGTAAACGTGGGAGCCTTACTTATTATACAACAGACAAAATGTTACTACAGTAAATAAGATTGCAAATTTTAGTTAATATTTAGAGTCATACACTTTAAAGACTGGATCCCCAGACACTAACGACACTGTCATCGATACTTTCAATGTAGAGTTGTCCTGCCGATGCTTTGAATCATAACCTTCTAGAAGGAACCGTCTCTGTTGTTGCCCGGAACCAGCAAACTCCGACAGATTGATGTCAGCAAAACCTAGTTTTTGGTAAGATTTACCTCCCTTTAATTCCTGAAATGCAAATAAAGCAAATGTTTCAATGTTTCCTTAATATTTCATACAAAAGATGGTTTGATTGATCTTCAATTTTATTGATTAATTAGAAATATAACTTAACAACATGAAATGCCATGAAACCATTTAAAGTGTATAAAGCTGGCATCTGTGGTTTGTAAAATTATTGTTTCTATTAATATTAAAATGATTACAGAATACCTAGAATGCAACAAATTTGTCAGTATATTTCATTAAAAGCTACTGGGCATGCATGAAATTATCTGAACCTACAAAAATGGCAGGTGATTATTTTGTCCTGATATATTTTATTCTGTTTATGTACAATATTTATGTATATCAAATTACATAGACATTCTATGTTACAGATCTTTCATGACCTAAAGATATGAAAACAAGGTAATTATACTGTTTTTAATATTTTATAAAATATTGTTATCAGAACTAGCTTTATACAGTTAAAAGATAAATTAATTAATTTGTCCCTAAAAATCATAAACATAGGAAATTTTACTTTTGGCCATTTCTTTTCATACTTAACAACATCCATTTCAGTTACATTTTAGACAAGATTTATTTATTATTCTATAGCACTAGCTAAGTTTGACATGCACAGGTTTGTAGTTGTCAATAAATTGCACCTACCCTCCTAACTGAGACACGACATATACAAGGATCTAGTATTCCTGTACTAGCATTTGAAGTCATCTTACACTCAAATGAAAACTTGCTGTTCCATTTTACACAGTGGTTGTACACCTCTTTCCTGCAGATATATATGTAGTTTAAAGTAATAAAATGATAAAATGATTGATATTTCTAGCTTTTATATCAAGCCACTTACATACAAACACCATCAACATTTAGAAATCTATCTAAAGATAAGTATATTCACTGTATTCTAAACAAAATAAAATTTCAAGAAATTTTCTACATCTAAAACCAAAAAATACTTTTTAGTATAGCTAAAATAATAAAAATTCTACAACAAGGTCTGTCCATTGGTTTTATTACATAACCTTTGCATCATTGAAACACTATCCATTTGCAAGGCTGAAGCATCAAACACTTCCTTTTTCCATAAGAATACATTTAGTTCTGACTTATCTCCCCTTTTTAGTAATAGCAGCAATTATGACAATTATCAAATTCTACAATGAAAGTAACTCAAGTTTAATTGTACATTAAATCCCTGGAATCAGGGCTCCAGCTCACTAGAGCCATGTTATGTTCAATAAGGCAACAAAAAATAACTTGGCTTGAGAAAATATACTTTTTGAATCCTTAATGTCTAAACTAAGTTTAAATTATATTCAGGATAGAAATGAACATAATTGATTTTCTTACAACTGCTTATACATTGCTCTTTATTTCAAAACATGGCAATACTGTCTTGATTTTTAATTCGCTCAAAAAAAAAATTGTCAGTGCTAGCCAGCCAAGCCCAATATGAGATTTTCAAAGAACAAATTGTTTAACCAAACAACATAGTTTGATTCCAAAATTAGACAAATGCAAACGTTGAACACTTTGGACAAGTTAGTTAAACAAATGCTGCTTTGAAATATGCACATCAAATATATAATACCTGTTTGAAACTTCTGAGAAGCCTCCCTCCAGCAATCGTATCTTAGCAAACAGAATTCCACTAACAAATGGCACAGACGAGAGCTCTTCCAGGTCAAAGGTCACATGAAACTTGTACTTCTTCTTTCTTGACATAAAGGACATCATATTTTGTGCCACAGTGAGTGGATTGGCTACCTGAAACATACATCATAATACTTTACTTACTATGATACAATGTTGTTGGAAAAATGAATTTCCCCTTGTGATTACAATGATATTCATGCTTTGATGATAGAGCTAAAATACTTCAGCCAACCACCTGATAATGTAAGTTTATATTTTTGGATATCATAAGCTCGCAACGGCTGTATTGCATTAATATTTATAAGGTTACACAATCTTCTGGAAGTATTTGCTTTCTGCCAAAATCTGTAATTATTGTTGTTACTTACACACGCACAAATATTCTGAATAAAATATGTTTAAACTAATGGGTCTCAACTCTCATATTTTCTGCAATATTAAACAACTAGGAAAAGGTCATGTGTTTTACCAGAATAAAATAATATGAGAATAAAATGGAAATCTTTGAAGGACACATGTATCACATAATTTTAGATAGATGTCAGTCTTATGTTAACATACATTATTGAAGATTCAGTAAATAAATGCTTCAAGCACTATTTCTCACCATAATATACTCATGTTTGATCCATCATTTTACATGCTGAGCCTTATCTGCTCTGCTTCATCATAAAGGTTGTATACTAAAATCTATTTAATGGTTTCTAACACGATTCCTGAAATGAAATATTAATGTTAAATAAAGACCTATTCAAAATGGATTGAAGTGTATTACATGAAAAGATATATATCAAAACCTCAATCCTGAAAAACAAAAAAAATACTTCAAAGTTCAATTCTATTATTTAGAAAATAAAAGCCACATGTCTAAATTTGGGGATATCATTTATTAGAAAAGGAGCATTTTCAACCCAGACTAAAGTCACTTTCCCAGGGATATAATTCAACAGTCGCCACTGACAATTAATATCAGCAGTGTGCAAACATAATTACATGATAATAGCCCAGCTTGTTTGTGAAAGGTTGCCAAATTATGTTAAAAAGCTTGAAGAATCAGGTATGGTATATTAATTCCCTTGATGGTCAGATACAACGTCGAGTTCAACCGCTTGGCTTCTCTACATATTATATATACAATATATATTTTTTTTCTAGAATTACTTTTTTACACGGAAGTGGCTAGCCGTACGGGCCCGTACGGCTAGCCAAAAGTTCTAGCCGTACGTGAGTCACGTACTACTAGCTAGGACTCACTGTATTGGCTAGCCGTACAGCACTTTTCAAAATTATATGGAAGTCGAAAATGCATATGATATTTTGTGTCTTTAAACAAGGATTTTAATCATTGCTCCCCATTTGTCCTAGTGTGTTCACTTTAATAAAGATGCTCCGCCATATTGTAAAAAATGAATAAGAACAAGTGTTGTATAATCTATTAAAGTGTCAAAGTGTCAAAGTTGCATGTTACAAGTTATGACGTCCTTGATTTTCATGCTTGTGATTTGTTGTTTTATTAGTATGAAAGATGAATTGTTAAATCATTTTTGTTAATTAAGCACATGGATCAAATAAATAATGATCGGGGGGAATAAATAAATAAATAAGTAAATAAAAAGAATACTGAAAAAAACCGGTGAAAAGCAAAAATAATTTAAAAATAATTTTCAAATACAGTAGATAAATATCGACCATAAAAGCACAATCAATTAATTAACCTTAATTAAAGCCTACCTAGGGACTGACAATAGAATTTTAGAATGCGTTTCACGGAACATGCAAACTTTCCTTAATGATGGACAATTAAACTGCTATACCGTCGGTAATTGACGCAATTATCAGAGCCCAACAACAATTATTTTCGGTGTTTTTTTTTTGTTTTTCAATTTGAAAATAAAACTAAATGAAACAAAAAAGGATTATTATCAAAATGTTGTTAACTATTTCAATTGATGTTATTTAACTCAATAACCAGGGCTCAAGCTAGGTTCAAAATTTAGGGAGAAGTCACTTCTCCCTCCAGCTGATTTAGGGAGAAGTGGGGAGACTTTAGGGAGAAGTGAGGAGATTCATTTATTGATGTTTGTTGTATGTTATCGCAATTATGTTGACTCACTGTTCATATCTTATTAAATGAATTGGATTTATGTTACAAAAGAATATTCAATTTTAATTTAAAACAGAGACATAGATAGCTATTATTATAACTATTATTATCTATGTCTCTGTTTAAAAGTAGTTTGAAACAAGTAATAACAAGAATTTGTAACAGAGTTACCAACGTCCCCCGCCCAGGGAGTTTTATATGAAGCATAAAATTGTGCTATTTCAAAAGATTGAGGTATGGATCTCAGGACATTCAGTCCAAAATTATGATCAATGCTAGATCTGCAAATGTAACAATAAATTTGTTAAAAAAATAAAATGAAACACGGAATTTAAAAATCTATCATGTTAAGCTTTGACCTCTAAGTGTGAACTTGACCTTGGAGGTAGGGGAGCAGGTGTTGTGCATGACATAACGTCTTATTATTGTGACTATTTGTGCCAAGTTATTTCAAAATCCCTTGAACTATGAAGAAGTTCTAGATTCAACACAAAATATACCCTATAACAGACTATGTTAATTTTTGACCTCTAAGTGTGACCTTGACCTTGGAGGTAGGGATGCAGGTGTTGCGCATGACACATCCTCTTATTATAGTGACTATTTGTGCGAAGTATTTTCACAATCCTTTGATCTATGAAAAAATTATAGACCTGACACAAAATATACCCTATAACAGACTATGTAAGTATTTGACCTCCAAGTGTGACCTTGACCTTGGAGGTAGGTGACCGGTTTTTGCGCATGACACATCGTCTGATTATTGTTAACAATTATGGCAAGTATTTACAAAAGTCCTTCATAGATAAGAAAGTTATGGACTGGACACGACATATACCCTCAAATAGACAATGTTGACCTTGAATGAACAAGTACGACCTTGACCCTGAAGGTACAGGTCTGGTTGTTGCGCATGACACATCAGCTTATTATAACAAACATTTGTGCCAAGTTATCTCAAATTCCTTTGATAAATGACAAAGTTATGGACCGGACACGAAATATACCCTGTAACAGACTATGTTAATATTTGACCTCCAAGTGTGACCTTGACGTTGAAGGTAGGCAACTGGTTTTTGCGCATGACACATCGTCTGATTATTATGAACAATTATGGCAAGTATTTACAAAAACCCTTCATAGATAAGAAAGTTATGGACCGGACACGAAATATTAACTGTAACAGACTATGTTAATATTTGACCTCCAAGTGTGACCTTGACCTTGAAGGTAGGTGACTGCTTTTTCCACATGACACATCGTCTGATAATTGTGAACAATTATGGCAAGTATTTACAAAATCCCTTCATAGATAAGAAAGTTATGGACCGGACACGAAATATACCCTGTAACAGACTATGTTAATATTTGACCTCCAAGTGTGACCTTGACCTTGAAGGTAGGTGACTGGTTTTTGCGCATGACACATCGTCTGATTATTGTGAACAATTATGGCAAGTATTTACAAAATCCCTTCATGGATAAGAAAGTTATGGACCGGACACGACATATACCCTCAAATAGGCAATTTTGACCTTGAATGAGCAAGTGTGACCTTGACCCTGGAGGTAGGGGTCTGGTTGTTGCGCATGACACATCGTCTTATTATAATAAACATTTGTGCCAAGTTATTTCAAATTCCTTTCATAAATGACAAAGTTATGGACCGGACACGAAAGTGTGACGGACGGACAGACAGACGGAGCCTATTTCTATATCCCCCTTTTTTCTTCGAAAAGGCGGGGGACAATTAAGAATGAGTATCATGTAATGCAACCATTGCATTAAATGAAGATAAAAAAAGCCATAGTTGAACTCTATCATGGATCATATCATGGGTGGATTAATAGTTATTCCCTTCTGATTTACTATTAAAAAGATTGCGCCGGACATTATATTCATATTCACTTATGTTGTAAAGAAAATAAAAGTAGATAACGAAAGAAACGATCTTTAATTTCACTTTATTTTTAACAAATACAGTGTAATACGCCGTTAATCTTATCAAATTTAACTCGTCGACAAAAAAGGTTATCATAACTTTCATTTATAATTACCGTTACAGTTATATGTCGAGCGGTTCCGCTTAATTCTGACAATCATTCGATAGTGAAAATTTAATTGACGTTTGATCCGTCATCCTAAATAATTGTTACAGGTAGTTGTATGTTAGCGATTTAATGATTGGTTAAATAATGTCGCCTCGATTAAAACGTGAATTACGATTGGTTTCTCGCACGTATCGGTAATCTCGCCGTGGGCAGAGTCTAATTGTTCCTTGAGCGTCTGTTAATTAGATTTTTATGACATGTTGGTAAACAAACGGATTAAAGACATTTCGCGTTGATTGAGATGCATGACAGTCCCTTTTTCCGGCGGCAACCGCGAGGGTAAACAAAGCAAACACTAACCACATGTTATTCACAGTTATTGTTGGTAATTTACAATAATGGATCAATAAAATCGGGCGACTTCATCTTCGCTTTCATGTAGGATGTCGGCGAAGTCAGACGGAATTCGGCGACTATTTCGCCCGAATCGCCCACTAGCTCGAGTCCTGATAACTGCAATCAAACGCTATTTTTTCTCGACATCTTGAGAAGACAAAAATATATATTCGTACTTTCTTTACTGTAGCCAACAAGGCGATTAATCTCTAAAAAGTAAACATACGAAGACAATTGCTGTCTTGGTTAAAATCCTTGCTTAAAGTCATAAAATAACATATGCATTTTCAACTTCCATATAATTTTGAAAAGTGCCGTACGGCTAGCCAGTACAGTGTGTCCTGGCTAGTCGTACGTGACTCACGTATGGCTAGAATTATTGGCTAGCCGTATGTACCCGTACAGCTAGCCACTTCCTTTTTACACAATCCCAACACTGTGCCGTGTCCCTTTGCAATAGACTTTTTACCAAGCGCAAATTCAGCCACAAACTCTCAGATTTAAAGGTTCTACAAATATTTCTCTAGCACCCCATTTGAATACGCTATCTTAGTTTTATTAAAAGGATCTGGAAATCTTTCGTGCTATAATAGAAAAAAAAGCTAAAAAATATACCCCACCCACCTCAAATATTAGGGCGGAACTTCAAGAAACGGTTGCAAAAACAGTGATATTATAAGATGAACTCAAAATAATTTTAATGCTTATAACTATATAATTGTATTTATTCAGAAACAAGTCATAAATTATAAATGTTTTAACAATAACCCGGAAAAATACCAATTTCCATGAATAATTGAAGTCCACTGTTTTGATACTATTGCGCATGCGCTGTTTACCTTATGAGTTGTCTCTCTTTGGGAGTGGTGTAAATGCCATCTCTCTACGGTTGTAGGACGGGGACGATCAACACCCAACAAGCTGTGATTTGGTAACTGCAATGTCTGTAAAAGTATTTAAAGTAGAACACTAGTAGAAGAAAATAAAGACAGTATTAGAAATACACTATTCAGGCACACGATTGTGAACATTAGTGATAGAATTACTCAGTTCAAGACTATATAAATTTGTCCATACACATTTTATGACCTATAGATGCAACATTGCGCGAGTCACAGCTTTGACCGACCTGGAGTTTATGCGCGACTCTTAGCCTTACAATGTTGAAATTTGGTGCCAAGTTGTATCTGCACAGGTTGTTTTTATTAAAAACGTTCAATGAAGTTTAGCTCCGTGAAGTGTGAGCTTGACGTTTGACCTAGAGCTGGTTCGTGCGTAACACTGTGTCTCATGGCCGGAGGTAAACATTTGCGTCAATTGATACTTAAATCCTTCCATGCATATGAAAGATAAAAAAAACCTTGAAACTGCCTTCATGCCCGTCAAGAGCGATCCCGTTACGACCCGTTTTTGTTCTTTTTTCAAACGGGCGTATAAAAAAGAAAGTATTTATAAAACACTTAGAATAACAAAAAGGACACACTTCTGCTAATTAAGAGAAATGAGCTCTAAAAGTACATTGTAAGTTTTTATTTTGTTTTCTGCTATGTATTAGAATAGTCAATTAATGGATTTTTTTACTGCCCGGCCGATCATATTTTTATATGTTACACAAATAATATTTCTTCTGGATGAATGTATCTTATAACTTCCTTAATTGTGACATTATATTTGTTTTGCTTCAAATATGCAATATACCTTATCAGTTAGAAACTGATTCGGCATCCTTAGTTGTATATGAACTAACACCTATCTGTAACTGATCAGATGTACAGTAACTTGAGTAACCCGGCTATGATAGAGCATCCTAGTTTACATGTATAGCGTAAAAGTCGAGTGCAATCATACCTTCCTTCAAAACTATAAGTGCTTAGTAACCTCTGACATCCGGAGCGTTGGACCCCGATTCTTTGGGTGTCTAGGCCAAGCGCTGTTGGTTTGCAAGGTAAAACGCTAGTTTAAAAGTTATACTAGTCAAGACGGGATTTAAATAGCGGGATTCAAACCAAAAAGATCAAACCTTAAATATAAGCAAATTCAGAACAAGACGGGCACCTTAATTCAAAATAAGTTATGATGAAAATCGTTAAAGACCAACTATGCCTCAGAAAGCTATCATTTTTATTTCTCAAAAACTTTCTATTTTTGGTATCTTGATGCATTTTCTAAAAAAAACAATAATTTCCCATATAATGAACTATCTTGGCTTCTTTTGCTCTGTTGGCAGTTGGTACAATTACAGTGAATTGAGTATTTTGTTTGGAAGTCAAAATACTACTTTGTTTACTTTTTGCTACCTTTACATACATTACCGCACATTCAGTGCTACTCTAATTTCTTAAGCTGTTAAACATCTAGCATGATCTAAATTAAGTATTTAAACATTACATGTTTGACATTTCTAAAGAATAAGATAAATGTGGATTTCTGAGGCATACTGTGCTTTAAACGGACTCCATTGTGGTTTTTTGACATGACGGACCTCAGACTATTGTTTGCTGATTATTGTTCTATTTGATGTAGATCTTGACCAATTATTTGTTTGCAAAATTTCAGATTGTTTGCTCATTCCGTATTTTTTCTTTCAGAATATTTATTCGATTGTGAAAAATGACCCAAAATTGAACATCGGGCTATGAATAGCACAAAAATACGACTTTCAATTTATTTTCGAGTATATTTCTTAACTATCTTTTGCATTTATTCCTGTTAAAAGTGCACCAGCTAGTCTATATAAGAAATTAAAATTTTATGTGTTTAGGCTCTTGGACCTCAGTGGAGTTCCTTTAAAATGTGTTGAGAAAATGATGAGAAATGAAACGCAGATGTACGACCAGAGATTTACGTGTAATCAGGGATATAACATATAGATATCTATGTATGTCAATGACGGTATATGTATCGTATGTCCCAGACCAAACAGTAATTTTTAACTTGTTAATTAATCAATTAAAGACATGTATACTTAAAATGAATAAATACGATTTTATGAAAATTCAGCAGTTTATTTTCAAATTTATGTAAAAGTTGTGCGGTAACTGTCACGCTCTGTTAATCAAGCAACAACATTTAAGTGATTCATACCATCATCACCTGCCATCTTTAACTATGTGAACAATTAGTGGTCGGATGGTTCTGCGGTGACCAATTTTTTTTTTACAACCCATGTTGCTGTAAATTAGTGAAGTAATTGTCATTTTCTTTCAAATAAAGCAATTTAGTTTGAAGTTACGCCACAATGATAAACATAAACTTTTGTTTGCGCAACGTTCACTATGACTACCCCATTAGGCTATTGTATATAAAATATAATATTTCTCCAAGGTCTGGATATTATCTTCCGTTTATTTTAGTGAAAATCACACACAAATTTTATACATGACACACACCTTATCGAAAACTAGTTAAATGCCAAAATCATATTATTAGATCAATCTTCAGGTCGTAATCTGTTAAAAAATAAATTGCTGCAATGATTGAAATTATAATGAACTTGTCAATTTAAGTTATTGTTTAATATGCTGTACACTTTGCACGCAAATAATTGTTAATGAAGTAATGTGATAACCGGTTACCCAGTGGTTCAATGACATCTCGAATTAAAATGTTGAAATAAAAAAAACCCTAACGCTACCAGTAAATAATGAAAGTCTCAATAATTGAATAAGGGTAACGTCCCGTCCATTCACCACTGAACCTTTTGTTTGACAGTTACACGCTAACTGAAATCTTCACTATCAGGTCACATTCTTACGTGTCACTGTACTTTCCGTGCAATCTTGTACATGTAACCTCAAGAGAACTTTAAAGAGGCATGCCTCCAGATGAACCAAAATATTTCAAGAAAATCAAACTTGAGAAAAATGTACTATAATTTTAAGACAATTGAAAGTAATATCCAAGATTTAAGTAAAAATGCACATGCTATGTACGATTAATGACTGATTTTGCAGTATTTCTCACCATATCACTTTACTATAACGCAGTAAGGGCTATTTTTACACATTTTGACCAACTTGTGGTAATTTACATTGGTTATAAGTTCCATTTGAATTGTATAAAGTATTTTCTTTGTTCACTTCACAATATTTTACTGTTTAATATATTTTCAAAATTTTCATTAAGATTAGCCGGAATCTGGAGGCGTGCTGCTTTAAGATTATATATGGTTCAAATTAGCCGGAAGTTTTCACCACAACGAACTAATATATATGTAAGCAAAGTCCCATTATCCTTATTTCAATAAGGATACTTTTTCGCTTTTAGTCACGCTTTTTGCCACGAAAAAGGAAAGAATGAAAAGCAAACAAGAAAATAAAAAAAACCACCCAAAAACAAACACCTTCTATTAGAGGGATAATACAGGTGTGTTTTGATTCAGGTCAAAACAGTTCACGTTTATCATATTACCATTTAAAAAAGAAAGACTTTACAATATACATCAGCGCAGTACTTTTACGTATAAGATAAATCATTGTTCAATCAGGAAGAAAATAGGCATATCTACCCGAGATAAATTACAAAAACAGTATATAAATATTTCAATATACGGTTGAAGATGTGTTAAACATGAGTTAAATTCAAGTGCTTTAAATTTGACTTCACTCTATTTGAAAGCTATTTTGTCAAAAGAATTGTCGAATTCAGACAATTTAAAGATCTGGATATACAAGCATAAATTGATGGAATCATTATAGTTTATAAAGATCTCGGTATTGACACACAAAAATAGATTTATCGAATTTATTGAACCCGGAATAGAAAACGTATTAAAATAAATATACACTCGATTCTATTTTCATAAATAATATGACATTTGACGACTTTGGAAATTCAATGTTTAACAGGATGTACGATAAATAATGAGGAAACCAAACATGAATACAAATAAAGATGCTAAGAATTAAAATACCAGTTCATTTATGAACGAAGAATTGCGTATAACAAGTGAAAAAGTGCGTTATTTCATAAGATTATACATGCATTAAATAAAGTAAACGAGGATGAGTGAACGCGCTAATTCAACGTGTAGCAGACATATCGGCGAACCAGCCACAGCGTTTTGTCTGAAACACGAACAGAGTTTATGTATGAAATGTATACTAGGGGCACACAAGGTATGTGTGCACGAAGACAATGTTGAGTACATCGACAAAACCACAGAAAGAATTGAACAAGAAATTCCAGAAGCTATACGAACATATGAACATATTTTGACCACCTCTAAAACATGGTCACAAAAATATCAAAACACGTTGGAAAAATTAGAGCAAGCAGAAAAAAGTCTTGTATCTGGTATCAAACAAATGAGGGAACGCTTGATTGAACAAACGGAAACACTAGCAACCGAGGCGCTTGAAATTGTTCACTCCGTTGTACAAGACCAAAGATCAATGGTACTACATGATGTAGATCAACTTGACGAGTTTAACAGAAAAGTGTCCGATATTAAAAGCAACATAGAAAGGTGTAAAGCAGACGATGATGTTGTGGCTGGAGAACTTATGTATGTGCTGAATACTGTCAAAAATCTCCATACTAAGTTTCAAAACACCGAACTCATAGACAGAGATGTAAAATTACATTTTCACTTATCAGACGAACTTCAGTACATCAGAAAAAAGTTCATGTCCTTTGGAGAACTGAGCGTGGAAGATCCTAATTGCAAGAATACAGGACTGCGTTCTAGACCGTCAAGAATTAGTCTAAATCAGTCGTTTAGCCAAGAAAGCTTTGCTGATGACGAAATTGATTCGTCAGTTTTTGTGATACCGAAAAGCAAAGCTTGGGCTGTAGGTGAGAAGAATATCTACTGCAGCATACATGTAGAGGAGCCACCAACACCGTGTC